TGTGTGTGTGTGTGTGTGTGTGTGTGTGTGTGTGTGTACTGGAAGAAAGCACCAGCTTTAACCTGTGCAGAAGATCTTTAGTTCAAATATTTAAATCAATTTATTCTGACAGGCAGACAGGATCACTTCCTGCTACTTTAACACAACAGAGGGAGTTCCTCAGGGCCTACAACTGAGACCACTTGTGTTTTATTTACTTTAGTTGTCTAAAATTAAAATGTTCCCTGGCTTGCTAATAATACACTGTCTGGCCATAAAATGGACACCCTCTAATATTTTGTTGGACCAACTTTAGCTTTGATTATGGCACGCATTCTCTGTGGCGTTGTTTCAATAAGCTTCCGCAATATCCGATTTATTTCCATCCAGTGTTGCATTACTTTTTCACCAAGATCTTGCATTGATGATGGTAGAGTCTGACTTTCTCCAGCACATCCGAAAGATTCTCATGGACTCTGTGGAGCCAATACATGAGTGAAAATGATGTGTCCTGCTCCCTGAACCACTCTTTCATAATTCCAGCCCTGTGAATCCTGACATTGTCATCTTGGAATATGGTCGTGCCATCAGGGAAGAAACAATCCACTGATGGAATAACCTGCTTATTCAGTATATTCCGGTGGTCAGCTGACCTCATTCTGTGAGCACAAACTGTTGTTGAACTTAGACCTGACCACCTGCAGCAACCCCACATCATAGACCTTAATTACATCCAGGTGGAGACTCTTTTTTGTTGTCGTTGTTGTTGTTGGCTGTGCAGTGTATGGCGAACTGTCTACAGCTAATTATTGTATTTTAGCTGGAACAAGCTTGTTCAGCTTCATTTTTCCTTCTGCCCTGCAGGGCTCAGAGATGGGGAACTGGGCCCTGGGTCACTGGACTGAAGAAGGTTACGACATCTTTCAGAACTTTCCAGATCTCAACAGCATCTTGTGGGGAGCTGAGGACAGAGGCTGGGTGCCCCGCGTGGTGCCCAATCATCACATCCCCCTTCCAGAAAACTTTCTTAATGGTTCTGTGAGTTTTTGTAACACCAGGGGTCACGTTTTTAAATGCTAGGTTTGTATTCAAGGCTTAGAATCTCTCTGCTTTGTGCTTCTCTTAGCTTGCAGTCGAGACAAAAGCTATTATTTCCTGGATGGAGCGAAACCCATTTGTGTTGGGCGCCAACTTGCAAAGTGGAGAAAAAATGGTGCTTTACCCTTTTGACATGCAGCGTCCACCGATTTCTGTAAGGCTCATCTAACGAAGGACAAAATTCAGCAGATTAATTGGTTGAACTCTCAGAGTAATCCTGGGATGTATTTGTGTACAAGCTGACTGACAGCCGGCGTTGGAGAGTTAATTCTGAGATGAGCGAGGAGACCTGGGCTCGGATTCAGCGTCAGAATGAAGGAGCTCTGAGGGAGACTCCTGATGACGCCATGTTTCGCTGGTTGGCCATGTCCTACGCCCACAGCCACCTGACCATGACGGAGACGTACCGAGGCTCCTGCCATGGTGATGATGTCACCGGAGGCCAAGGCATCATCAACAGAGCCAGCTGGAAGCCAGTGGTTGGAAGTAAGTGACAAATTATTGTGTGATTGCTGAGTCAGGAGAAAATAGTTTTTACTGTTTACAAATTCAAACACTTTTCACAATATTTCATTCAACAAAAAATGCTCCTCAAAGAAATACATTTAGGATTTCAGTTCTTTCAAAACATTCTCTTTTAAAATCTACTTCAGCAAACCTGCTGTTTTTGGCTGTGTGCTCCGTGTAGCTTTCAGCTACTGTTTTACTAAATGTAGATTTGTTGTGTTGTTATAATGAAATAGTAGAATCAGCAGGCAAGACACGTAGCTCAGCTTCAGTTCTCTCTTTATTCTCTTCTCTCTTCTTCTCCTTCATTCCGCTTCTTATATATACAGTCAGAGCTCCCCCTGCTGTCCTTTTCATGCAATAACAAGACATAACATTTTCCCTTTTC